AAATCCTGAGATAAAGTGAATTTTTTCCAAAAATAAAAATACTCTACTTTTGTTTGATATTTAAGGCTGTGTTTGGTTAGAAGATTTGGGAAGAAATTTAAAAAATGAAAAGGAAAAAAATGTGTGAAACTAAGTAAAATATAAGTATATTTTATTTACATTTCACTTACATTTTTCCTTTCACTTTCCAAATCATTTCCCAAATCTCCAACCAAACACAGTTTAACACTCTGTTTGGGTCGTAAGGTGATGTGAGAAAAGAAATAATTGTGGTTTCTCACCTAGATGAGAAAAAAAAAATGAGTATGATTTCTCACCATTTATGTTTGGAAGAATATAAAAGATAAATGAATGTAGTTTCTCACCTATCTTGTTTTGATAGAGTAAATAAGAGAAAATAAAAGAAATTGTTATATTTCATTTTATCAAAATATATAACCTTTCATATTAATAAATTATGCTTTTCATAAGGGCAATTTTAATACTTTAAAAACCTTTCATTAAATCCAATTTCTTTCTCACCAAATTTCACTACTTTTGGTGAGAAACAATATATAAGTTTGGTGAGAATTTTTTTTCACCATCTCTTGTCATTTCTCACCTACTTAACCATACAAACAAGTGAAGAGATTTCCCATTCTCACCATTTCTTTTCTTTTCTCACCAAACACCTCCATCCAAACAGAGTGTAAGAGCATCTCTTTTCTTTTTTTAACCATACAAACAAGTGAAGAGATTTTTTATTCTTACCATTTCTTTTCTTTTCTCACCAAACACCTCCATCCAAACGGAGTGTAACAACATCTCCAATGACAAGCTATTGAAGCTGCCATTGCCAAAATTTGGCAAGAGTCTCCAAAAACTTTGCTCCAGTGGGTTACTATAACCCCTCTCAAATTTGGCAATTGCCATTTCCACAGCCAAACATTATCCAAATAAACAGATTTTGACTCCAAAATTTCCATGGAACAAACAAACACAGTGGGAAAAATCCAGCAACAATACAATAATAATAAAAAATTACTGTTTTTCAGATTTTTGGAGATAGAGATGGAGATAGAGGCAAAACCCTCCAAATAGAATATATATATATATGTATATATATATTAACAAAATTAAAAAAACAACAACAACAACAACAACAACAATCACTGCAAAAACAATAATCACAAATAATAATCATAACAACAATAATCAAACAATTTCAGAAAAATTTCAAGCAAGTTTTCACAAATTTCAAGCCATCTCAAACAAATCAAAAGGAATCTCAACTAATTTCAAGCAAATTTCAAGCAATTTCATCAATGTAATTTCACAAAAATAAATACTTGGAAAGGGTTTTGAAGTTTCTTCATCTTCTTCAGATTGTGATTTTGTTAAACTTCTAAGATGAAAGAGATGAACCTAAATGATAAAGATTCGAACAAATCTTGATGGATCGAACGAACTCCCGCCCCCTTTTGGCCCTTGATGGATTCGAACGAACCCAAGTCGAATGAACTCTAACCCAAACACATACAATCGTTGAAGGAGAGAGATGGACAAGTTTGAGAGAGAGAGAGAGAGAGAGAGAGAGAGAGAGAGAGAGGGGAAGAAGTTTATGGAGAAGGAGAGCAAGACAGTGCTCTAGAGATTTAAAAAAAAAAAGAAAAAGAAAAAAGAGGGAGAACTTGGAAGTCTCTGGAATTTAGTATTTCTAGTATTTATAATTTTTCGTATTTCTTTTTTAATGTAATTTTTATGTTTAAATTTTTAATGTAGTTAATATTTTTTTAAAAAAAATTTGCAATGATATCAATTGGTGGGGTGAATTATATTTATATATATTTTTAATCTTTTTATATTAGTCTAGTCGGAATGTAAATATTTAATTTTAAAAAAAAATTTAAAAAGGTCATAAAAGAAAAAATATAAACAATAAAAAAATACTTAAAAACTTATATCGAAACATCACCTATAAAATTGAAGGAAAAATTAGTTAAAATTTGTCAAAATAGCCTGTAACCATTGGAATATTATTTTTATAATTTGACAATTTACTATTATATAGATTTTCAAATTATAGTTTTGACCATACTATTATAACATTTGCCAATTGGAGATGGTCTAAGAGTATCTCCAATGTTTACTCTATTTTTGTTTTATTAATTTTGAATAAAAATTTAAGTGAAAGTTTCATTTGATATCGTGCGTTCCAATGAAGTAATTTGAGATTTCATCAAACCATCAGTCGATTAGGAGGACGACTGAAGTATGTCCGGCCAGTCGACCGACCAATGTAAATTTTCCAAAATTCTAAAACAAATTTTGCAAGGAAGTGGTCGACCAGGAGACAATCAGCCAAACATCCAGCTAGTCATCTGATACTCATGCATACTTATAAATATAACGGTTATCTATAGTAATTTGATAAAAGACCCAAACATAATTTGATAAAAAATCTGAAATATTCTGAATTTAATATTAATTTAATGTTAATATTGGAGTATAATTTTGGAATATTTACCAATAAATCTTGTATGACAGACTGTTATACCAATCAGTCCCAACTTTATACTTTTGTTCCGGTAAGTCCTACTAGTGGGGATATTTGTTCCTTTCTGATCCTATTTTCTATGTTTGGCGTTACTGAGGGGACTAGTATACCCTTTTTGTTTGATTGGAAATGTGATTTGTGGGTTTATGGTTGTGTACATACGTTAGAGATCAAATTTGGGATTTTGAATGTTATATTTACATATGCTTTAGTCATTTCAGTTTGGGTTTTCTGTCGTCTCATTGTGGGTGGCTGGGACGACTGTGTTGTTGATTGCAAAAATTGCATTTTCGACGTTAAGACGCCATTGTTACGAAAGTATGTCTTACTCTGGTTTTCAGTTACAGCGTAGTTATATATGTATGTCACATTGCACTTCGTCCATATCCCTGTTTTACATCAGTAGGGGGTTTGTATGTATTGTTGGCGGGTGGTTTTGTATAACGTCACAAAATGGGATGGTATGTGCTGCATTGTTTTGGGTTGTGGTGGATTGTGTGTAGTGTATGTCATTTCATTTGTTGTATGGTTTATTGTGGTCCTCATGAAGCACGTGTTGATCTTGTCAGGGGGATGGACACGCCAATATTGTTAATTTGTTGTTACGGGGATATGAATGCCGTAATTAATTTGCAACCTCCGTTTCGGTTTCATGATATCGTCGACCGTGCGTGCAAAAAGTTTTTGTTGGGTTAATACCTGCCGATGTGTGTTTGTTTTTCAAGATGCCAGACTGTAATAATTTCACATTACAAAATGATGTGGATGTGGAAAACATGGTATCTCTTGCACGGTATTTCCGACTGCAATGTATCAATGTCATCATTCAGTTAGACGATTCACCTGATGATAATAATAGTGACAACCCTTTCTCAGATATTTCAAAAGAAGAGATGTATCTGTATTATATTTGTATTAGATATCTACTTTTTGGATATTCACAGATATGTATCAGATACTCTAAATCACATAATACTTCTTTTACAAAATTAAAATTGTAGTATTTCTTGCATAATATTATAATATAATATAAATGAAAGCAAGGATAAATATAAGAATATTTTTCTAATACTTTATTTAGTTATTTGATAAGAAGAATATAGTGAATTAAAGTAATTAAATTTGTCAAATTGATATATCTTTTTTCTTTCATGCATGTCCCATATAATTATATAGAAATAAAGTATTAATAAGAGAATATAATAATAGTATAATTAAAATTAAATATCAACATATAAATAAGCAAGTAAACTTGAAAACAATATTCTTTACCTGTGCCAAAAGGAAAAATGCAGGGACAAGTTGTAAATTATTTATTATTATAATACAAACATATTAGATATTAAAATGAAATATGTGTAAGATCTATTGAAAATTAAGAAGTTAGCAAGCTACTATCGTAAATTAATATCTAATTCTTAAATGTTAATATTTTGCATTATAAAATTACAGTATGATTTTTTAACATTCTTGATTTTATGCATAATTCACTATTAATAATTTTAAAAAAATAATTTATTTATTTTTTAAAAAAACATATCCTAATTGTATTGGTTTCATATTTTTTTAAGTTTTGTTCTATAGTCGTATCCTTATCGTATTATATCTGGTATCCTGCTTCCTAGACACAATGATAAGATTTGAACTAAATATCACACCTGATAAGGGCACAAGGAGAGGGGAATCAGGAGGGGCATTGGCCTGCAAACATTTTAAGAAACACATGTAGTTTTAGTAGTTTTATCTAAGAGTAATGTTATATATAATTATATTTTTTATTTTGGTTTCTCACTCTTGAACACAAAGTAATAGGCCCTAGGCCTTTATAGTCATAAATGCATATAAATTCTGCTTGCTTGCTTGTGTTTTGTAGTGAGAAAAAGAGATGAGGAATAAGATTATAGGTAGCATTTTGCTTCATCTAATGTTGTCTATCACTGAAATTCCTAAGGGTTGAGTTCCTCTCCAATGGTGATTCCACTAGATAAATTTTGTTGTCCAATTTTATAAGATAAATGTGATACGATCATGTAATTATCAATATCCAATTAATTTAATTTTTTAAATAAATTAACTTATCTACGGATCCTATAAATTGAAAGGTTCCAATCAATTAGGTGGTCCGAAACTGAATCGAGGAGCCCAACGCAATAGTACCACTCCAATTAGATCACAAACTAAGAAAAAAGGAAAAATTCTTCAGACAATTTGCCAAAAAATTAGATATAGGAGATAGACTTTAAAGCATTTCAAGGGTGTTCCATTTTTTTTAGATAACTAAAAAAATGTACTAGCCATGGTCAGTCTGAAATGTGAGCTTCAAAATTTATGAGAAAACCTTTTTGGAAAACTCTTTTAGACCAGTTTGTGATCTTTTAAGTTTGGCTTCATTCACGTAATATATCCTATGTTCTTTTTCTTTTCTTTTTTTATATATATATAACAAATTTGGTAATTTGTTTAGACAGGATTTCCACTAGTTTTACAAGATATGCTGTCGAGTGCAAGTGTTGATCCTGTCTCCCTTCGCTTAGATGAAAAGCTTACACACCTATCTGGTACAGACTCCGAGTGTTATATCTACAAAGTGCATGATCGACTACGTTGGCAAAATGAAAAGTCATATGAACCAGAAATAATGGCTATAGGACCATATCACCATGGTAAAGAGAACCTACAATGGATGGAAGAACACAAATTACAGTATCTGCGATTGCTTCTTAAACGAAGGAATGAGACTAGTGTGGGTAGATACATAGTAGCCATGAGAGATTTGCAAGAATGAGCACTTAGATGTTATGCAAACTCTGTATGGCTTAACAAAGACGAGTTTGTGAAAATGATGCTTCTTGACAGCTGCTTTCTCATTGAGTTGTTTCGCAAATTTACCATAACAAGTATGAGAGATAGAAATGACCCACTCTTCAAAATTGATTGGATACTTCCAACATTATGGCGCGACTCATTGTTATTTGAAAATCAACTTCCATTCTTTATTCTTGTGGAGTTGTTCAATATGACCAAAGTTCTCGACCCTCATGACAATATCACTGATTTAGCCATTCGATACCATCATTGTGTCAGTCAATATGCATCCCTAGGTCCTGTAAAGATTTTATACGCTTATAATGGAATTTCAACTTGTGGTGTGAAACATTTTCTTGGTCTGGTATACCAAATTACATCTTTTTCACTCTCAAAATTAGTACCTCTAACAAGTGTCGTCGGAGACAAGATAAAGAAATGGGAACACATACAATGTGCCACAGAGTTACATGAAATTGTTATCAAGTTCAAGAAATCTAACTGTGGTATGATCTTTTATAATGTAAAATTTAAAAATGGGGTATTAGAAATCCCGACATTAGTCATACATGAGAAGATAGAATGTCTTTTTAGAAATGGAATTGCATACGAGCAACATCATCTCGAGGAGGACATTGGCCTCAAATATACCACTGACTATTTAACTTTCCTGTGTTGCCTCATTAACTTGTCACAGGATGTCTCCTTGATTTGTCGCTATGGAATTCTCAAAAACATGCTAGGTGGTGATGAAGTGGTTGTGTCAATTGTTAACAAGATTTCTACTTGTGTCGTTGCACCTCGTGACAATTTTTATTACTCTCAAGTATTTGACGACGTAAGCAGGTATAGTAAACAACGTCGGAACATATGGACTGCAATGTTAAGGCGTAATTATTTCAACAGCCCATGGACAGTCATCTCGTTTCTCGGAGCTATTATGTTGCTTCTACTCACTTTGACACAGACAGTGTTTTCCATTCTTGCTTACTTCTGTAATAGAGGTTGTTGAGCCCATGGCAAAACTTTTAAGTGAGATTATTTGAAATCTTGAACTATATTCTTAAGAAAGTTGGAAGAAGGTGTTTGATAGAATTTTCAAAAATTACACAAAATGATGTGGCATAATTATAGATTTAGCATTTAAAAGTAAAAAGAAGAAGGCATTGACTATTCTTTATATTTCTTCGTACTTCATTTTGTGGGTCTCACACTGGACCCATAAGATGATTGGAATCGTTTATCTCATAAACCATGTAGTGAACACTGTAAGAGGTGGAAACTTAAAGTACGAAATTCAAATCTCCTACCCAAACTTTGAAGGCTAGAAGTGGTACAAAGAGTTCAAACCACAAAATTCTCGAGACAAATTTTTGGACTCAAAATGATTCGGAACCATGAATCCAAATATCCTTTGCAACTAGATTCGAAAAGGTTTAGAGCCATAAATTCAAAGATCTGAGTACTTGGGTTCGAAAATGTTTCGAAAACCCAGAAGTTACTCCATTGAGAATCCCAAAACACTTACGAACTTGGAGCCTAATTGACATGTTAGAACCATGATGTGACAAGAAAATGGACCTTCTCTTAAATGTGATGACCCATAATTTCTTTTTTTCTTTTTAAAAAGTCAGTGCATAATTTAATTGAGCAAATTTTCAGATTTGTAATGCTGTGTATATTCTGTGTGAAAACAATTCGGTTTTATATTTTTTTTAAATAGTTCCCAATCTCAGAAAATTATGCAACTTTTATATGTTGTTCACATATGAGTCTAGCATGTTGGGTAAACATTTCAGAATTTATTGATGAGTATTTATTTTATAAAAATTCGTGGACTGATTGGTGTTCAGTTTAATTTATAACAAAAATTGAAAATGAGTTTTGTGTGTGTTGGACCATGACTTGAGATTAGTTTGTTGGGTCTACTTTGATGTATAATTGGGTGATGTTTAGCTTATGGGTGTGAATTTAATTGAAGAACATGATTTAGATTTAATTTAATTTGAGTTTATTTATTTACTCATGTTTAACTACTTGGTCCTTTTTAATTATGTGATTGGAATTGCCCATCGTGGGAGTTGTTATTATTTATTATATATGATTATAATATATATTTGAAAGTTGAATTTATGATGTGTACCATATGGTGAAAAATTATATATTTTTATAGTGAATAAAATAAGAGTATATTTTGTAGTGAGCAAAAGAATTATATATTGTGGTGTACAAAAATGTTATATTTTGTAGTGAAAAAAATTATATCATTTTATAATTTATATTACAAAATTCTGAGATATATTTACAAAACTTATATATATATATATATATATTTTTGGGAAACTAATTTTTGGGAAGGCAACCCACGTAGGGCTCCCCCCTTCCCTCATTCCTTGTCCCTTCTTTCTTTTCCCTTCTTTTCTTTTCATTTTCTTTTGTTTTGGTTTGGCAGAGGCTGTGCGAAAATTATATCATTTTATAATTTATATTACAAAATTCTGAGATATATTTACAAAAATTATATATATATATTTTTGGGAAACTAATTTTTGGGAAGGCAACCCACGTAGGGCTCCCCCCTTCCCTCATTCCTTGTCCCTTCTTTCTTTTCCCTTCTTTTCTTTTCATTTTCTTTTGTTTTGGTTTGGCAGAGGCTGTGTGAAAATTATATCATTTTATAATTTATATTACAAAATTCTTAGATATATTTACAAAAACGATATATATATATATATATTTTTGGGAAACTAATTTTTGGGAAGGCAACCCACGTGGGGTTCCCCCCCTTCCCTCATTCCTTGTCCCTTCTTTCTTTTCCCTTCTTTTCTTTTCATTTTCTTTTGTTTTGGTTTGGCAGAGGCTGTGCGTCTCTCTCTCTCTCCCCCTTTCTCTTTTCTCTATGATTGCTCAAGCTTTGAGCTTAGAGTCGGAGTCTTTAAAGTGAGATTTTGCAAAAGCTTTGTAAATGAAAGTCGGAGAACTTGTCGTACTCTTCGCAATGGTGGTCTCGGATTCATGATTGGGTGATGTTTGCTTTTTCAGATTTGCTTTTCTTCATATTTTGAGGTAGGGGCTTTCTTCATATTATTACTTTAAAGCTATGTTAGGATTATTTTGAGAAAATATATCATTATAGGAGGTATTGCGTATATGTATTTCTCATATTTTGTCTGGTTAATTTTTGGAAGAAAAATTATGTTGAAGTGTTCAAGACATTGATATTTTGAAATTGATTTAGAAAAAAAATCATTTTGTGTTGGTAATATTTGTCAAAAAAATCCGAAAACGAAATTTATAGTTGTATGAGTTGTATCTACCTCATATTATGGTTATATAATTTATTTTGAGAAAATAATGTTGAAATATTTATTTCATCTTTGAGTTTTGGAATTTATTTTTGAGAAAAAAATAAATTGATGTTGATGAATATTGGGTAAATTGTTAAGTTGGGATTATAGAGTTGTTTTGGGATTAAAAACTCTAAAAGTGTTACATTCATGATATTTGATGAAAGGTGATATGTTGATGATTAAGTTACGTTTAGTTTTGTGAAAATGAAAATGTGAAATGTGGACTTTTGAATTCACAACCTTGAAAATATTACTCTTGGGCATGTTTCTTAATTTTTTATGTAAATATCATGTGATTAATTAATTTTAGAAAAAGTTTTTAAAATTATTATTGGTAGAGAGTTGGGAAAGGTTGGCTATTCGAGTAGCTTGGCATGAGATAGGGTTATGTTTGAGAGATAAGGTATGTGAAGTTATGTTTGGTATTATTGATTTGGAAAGTTTTCAATATGATACACTTACTAATTTAGTGAATTAAATTAGTTTGGTTAAAATTTTATATCCGTTATGATTAAAAGTATGTTATTGAGAAGATACCATAACTTTTAATATAGTAGGATAGAAATAGAAATATTCAATAAGTATGAGATTTGGTAAAAAACATATTGGTTACCTTGGTTGAGGTGGAACAAAGTTGATTGAAAGTTTTGTGTGAGTTAAAACAATTGGGAAATTGAGTATTAGTTTTACTAGTTAGAGTATGCCAATATGTTATTTTTGTACTTGAAATTCATATATGAGATACTTGATTTGTAAATTGAAGGTTTGGTTGATTACCTATAATCTTGCTACTAAATGTATTTTCTGTAAATTAAATTGCATGTGGGTATTTGAAAGTGAGAAAGCCCCAATTTGTGAAAGATCCTAAATGTTAATGTTTTGGGAGTTGTTGGATTATTGGGAAAATATTATGTTTGGTTTTAAGATTGTGGAATTGACTGGAAAACACTTATGAAACTTTTGGAATACCGAGTATTGGTTACTCCTTTGAAATGTTGAGTTTGATGGAAAATTATATTAGTCTTGAAAATTTGTCTTTAAAATGTGTAATATGGATTGTTTCCAAGTGTTGGGAATCACGGGGAATTCCAAGTTATGGTTGTATGTTAGATTGTATGTCCATGTTGTTATCTTTTAACTAATGCATTAGAGATAACTATTTCGGCTATCGATGGAAGATAGTATTGATTGTTGTAGAAATTGTATGAGGATTAGGTGAATTGAAACTAATCTCTTCTCGGTTGTTATTGAATATGACTGCGGGTTTTAATACATTGTATATGTATGATGTTTGGGAGAAGAAAATGAATTTACTCCATTGTTTGGGAGGAGAAAATGGATGGATTCTGTAACGCCCTCAAAAAGTACATAAATCAATCATTCACAAGATCTATAGACATAATGGAAATATTATATTTTCATTCATCAGAGTTAATATTACAAGAGATGTTACATGCATTATACTTTCACAAAGGATCATCCTGAAACTATAGCATGTAACTCCAAATGTTAACAACAGAATAAGTGCCCAGCGGGCTTACATCTTTCCAAGACTTTGCTTGGTTACAACAAAAGTAGTGTCCTAGCTCTATACATATAAAACCATCGGCTTGAATAAACATTCAGCACAAAAACAAAATCACAAAAGTGGAGCCTTCAGCCCCTAAGCCTCCCAAGCTATGCTCTTGGAGGCGGCATGTCACATGTACCTGAAAATGGTTTCCCAAGTAGGGTAAGCCAAAGCCTAGTAGAGATATGCTAAACAATATATGAGAATTA